TTCAGCACCTCCTTGTGCGTCTACTTTAAGATGATTGCATTCATCACAGCACGTTGTTATGTGTCTTACTTGTGCATTTGTGTTTTTAAGTAATAATTTCTCTCTCTTTTTTGTTTTTTTTTTGTCTTCACAGCTAACAAAGTGTACATGAACGTCCGGGACTACTGCAAGAGCTAAACTGAACATGGTGCAGTACGTTATCACATTCTGTTCAGACTGATCCAAACTTATTCTATTTTTTTTAAATGCTGTATAAGATGCAAAATGTACAAACTATTTTACACTGAATTCTTCTGCCATCAACACAAGTTGAGTCTTTTACACATATTATAATTCAGCTCAGTTCATTACATTCACAATAACGACTATTACGCAGCATTGGTGCACAACTAATGTTTAATGTCCTAAATAAAAGGCTTTAAGCTTCTTTTAAAAGCCTGCTACACTCTGGCACAATGTGACCTCTGCTTGGAAATATTTTACAAAATTTAAAAAATACAAATAGGACTTTAAGTGGAAACAAAACATCTCCAGTGGCACGCTAGTAGCTGATTATCTAAACATGCATCTTAATTAAACCACAAGCAGTTTCTGGGGATTTCTGGCTCCCGTCACATTATTAATCACTGTGTGCTTTTTGTTGTTGTTCACTGCGATCTGAAGTCCTGCACCTCCATGGAAACATCACAAGCACAGCGAGAAGGCGTGAGAAATGTCTTCTGTGTAGTATGAATTATTTCATTATAATGCCATAAATCATCATTTAAAAATTTATTTGACTATCTATTTAAAAGATAACACCTCGGATAACAACCCATAACATGTTCTATATTTTTCTATATTATTTACATTTTTAATTTGTTCTTATATCCTATCTGCTCTGTGTAAACACGCCGTTAAGCTGGAAACTTTTTGTTATGTGACTTTTAGGTGGAGCTCAGTCAGTCGTGGATTCATGGTTGCTTTGCAGAACACAGAATTTTAGGTTTTTGGGTTTTTTTACACGATCTGATTAGAGCAAATGATTTATTTTCATACATTTTTAAATTAGACATGTAGAATGAAGCAGTTTTGATGAAATGTCACAATTCATCCTGATAAAACTGCATATCAAACATGTTAAACAACCGATTATTCTCTCTGTTTTTATCTTTTCTGGCTCTGAAATAGTGTCATTTTGGGGATTTTTAAATATTTTTTTATTGCATGCTTTTAAAACCCAGCACTGAGAGCTGGTAATTAACAGTTCCCAAAGATGTTACACTTGTTACATGATATCTAGTAGAATATTCTCTATCATATTTGTCAGATAGGAGTTTCTGTGAACAACCCTGTATCCTCATTTTTCACCTGTTAAGTATGGCGTGCCACAGGGGTCAGTCTTGGAGCCGATTGTGTTTTCGTCGTACATGCTTCTGCTTGTTTTTATTCTGATGGCACGCAGACATACCTGCCTTAGATTCTTGGATCAGAAATTGTACATCAAGCTGACAAAACAAAGATTCTTGCTTTTGAGTCTCAGGCAGATTCTGCGACCAAATTTTTAGCATCGTAGAGATGTTTAAAAAAAAAAAATCCATCCATCTTAACTTTAAAGACACAGAGATCTTTTTATTTTTCTCATTGTGGCTGGTTTAGTGCAACAGCCTTTTCATCTGCCTGAACCAAAAATCTAATAATTATTGTACAGAAATCTTTCAACCAGATCAGCCTCTTTACACTGGATCCCAGTATGTACGAGAATAGATTTAAACATTTTTTGGATTATGTTTTAGGGCCTTCATGGTCCATATCTAGCTGTACCTCTAACTTCTTAGTTACCTTGTGCATGTAAGATCAAAGGTGTTTTGCATTTGCTGTTGAGCCTTCTGCCCGAGGAAATGAGGTCGGCTGAGTCAGTGACCTCTTTAAAGTCTCTTCCATAAAAAATCCCTTTATCGGAGAGCTCTTCCTGATTTTACTTGAGTTTAAATTTCCTTTAAAGTGTCTTTTTTTTCTTTTTTAAATAATGTTTTTACCTTAAAAATTGTAGAGATTTATGTTTTCAAAAGTTTTATTGATGTAATATATCAAATAAAGAACAGTCGACCAAATGATTTATCATCTCAATCATTCGACAGCGTCTGAAAAGAAGTGAAATTGAATTGAAATTGCTTCAGCACATGAATAAAACGCAGCTAAAGCACATCTTTGTCGGGGTTTGTTGAATGGACTTTAACTTAAGAAGAATCTTTTCCACCGTGGCTATATATTATTGGTGTAGGTGGATGTTTGCTGCCTGTTTTCTGTGTTTGCTGGCTTCACAAATTCTTGATTTTTGTTTATTTTCCTTCTTATTTTACATGTTTTATTCAGTTTTGAAGTTTGAACAACGTCCCCAGACCAGGACACCTGATTAGATCTGACCCGTTTTAAATGTCGTGCTGTGTGTTGAGGTGATGCCGAGGTCAAAAACTGATACCTGCCATTTCAAACGCAGAACATGCTAACCAAAGCGGGTCAGCATCTGTTTACCATCTCTCTGATCTGCCTCATCTCTGTGTCCTCTGTGTCACTTCCGTTGTTTCACGACTCTTTAGAGCGTCCATTCCTCTATATGGTTTTCTTTCACAGTCTAACGAATGGCAACGATGCCACAGAAATGACACCTTTTTTCAATTCAATTCAATTTTATTTGTATAGCGCATATTTACAACAA